TTGCTGCCCTAATCACTTTGAGTCATCATTGCGGGTTTCGTACATAAGCGAACACAATTAGGCGCATACACATACAGAGACAGACAAACTCACAGGCTTCAAAGTTGACATATGACCGTAACTAAACAAATCACTTTATACCTGATCAAAGAGGCCAGATGTAGAGTATATATACCGTTTTTTAATGATTTGCCGTTGAGTTTTCTTCACTCGTCAGTTTGAATTTGGTTGTGACGACGATACCTTGCTCTGTTGATGTTCGTCATATGACGGACGAAAGCTTAGCCCCTTTTCACCGGAATCGTAGGAGATTACCTCAGAAACAGCTTTAACATGAATGGTCCAGTAAAGCCAATCTACAGCTGGTCAAGAGGAATCTGCTGTCGTCTTCTGGTGGAATCAACCTTCGAATCTCTTCACCAGACACTTCAACTCAAAATGGAAGTAAGCACAACAATTATGAAACAAGCGATTCCTCAAAAGCCAACTTTTCTTCGCATATATTAATACACACACACACACACAAACTCTCGTGCAAAGGTAGTAGGGCGAATATGAATGATAATTGGCCAAGCTATCCTATATCTATATATGCCTATTTATTTTCGTTTTTAGTTGTGAACATATATAAGAGATAAGCTAGAGACTGATACTCTTCTTGACATAATTTTAACGTGAGCCTTTTACAAGAATGAGTTCCAGCTTTGATGATATCCATCAGATGATGGATGAGAGCTCAGCCTGTTTTCAACCGAAGCGATGGAGGGTGTCTCGTGGACTATGTCGATGTGAACGTCATTTTAAAGCCAAACGGCTGCAGTACAACGGGATTTAGCCGTCGTATTCATGTAAGATCGACCTTCTAATCCCTTCTTAATGCACTTTCATACGAAATGAAGGTCCCCCCATCAATGTCATCTCTGCAGATTCATCAAAACCAAGTTACTCCTCGTATATACAAATAAAATATCAGTTTGATGACTGAAGTTCTTATTTGAGAAACTAGTAAAAACTCAGTAACGAATCTCTCCAAGTGCTAGTAGGGCCTAGAAAACTTCGCCACTTCATCTGCCTAGGATAATAAGATAAAATAATTATTAAATTGGGAAGACTTCTAGCTTAATGGACTTTCTCAACGGCCCTAACTTCCTTGTGACAAGCAAGTTTTTGCATCAGCGTCTGATCTCATTGAATCATTTATAGAAAGTCCCATTATAAAGTGATATCTTCAACCAAGCCTGATCAACTCTTCCTTGGAAGGACGTTCATTTACTTTTCTTTATGAGTGCTGCCCCTTCCCCTTCTGTATATACACTTGCACCATTGCCAGGTCGGATGGATATCCGCATAATGAGGACCGCATTTACCCGACATTTGCGTCCAAAAACAAGTTCTTTAAAAATTGTGTCGTTGGGTCCACATCTTCACTGATAGGACTCCATTTGCTTCCCCGTAGAAAATGGATTTAACCCGGACATACTCCAAATATTTGATTAGCGGAATCAATTATGTATTGTATAACTCTGAAAAGTGAAACATTAAGTCAAATGACTCAACAGATACTGTTCGTCTTCCACCTACCTCCTATATCATGAGATCTCATCTACCTCTTCCTCACAAGTGTCATAGCAGCAACACTTGGTTTGGGAAGTTTGTTACCTGTTCTTCCTTCCTGACCTGAACCTCCCAATTTGCTTAACTGATAATGCATATATTTTCGAAATTCGCTCTAATTCCTGTTAATTGAGTCAGAAATAGGTAAAATGATTGGTCACAAACGGTCAAATGGGCTAGATCCACCCAGAAGAGAGCTTACTTCTTCAAGTGTGATGCGCAGATCGTTTAACTCGCGCTGCTGTCTGCGGTTCAGCCAGTCGATCTCTTTCAACTGCCGCTTAGCAAGCAAAATGACTTCTTCTCGCCCCATCACGATATCTTTGGATGGTTTATTTTTGGAAGGGCTGTTGGGACAAGACAGGGAAGACTTCTGAATGACCTTCTTCACACGATTCCGCGAGAGTAGTCGACGCTGGACAGGGGCGACGCTAACCTGCTCGAGGTCAGACTTCACAGCAGAACCAATCAGCAACTCGTGATGGGAGATTGCGGTGATGAGATTTTCATGGGCTGCAATCCTCTTTTGAGGGCTCGAGAGACTTCCTTTATCGCCAGCTTTTCCCTCCATATTATCTCGGTCGCCCGATTTGGATGCATCAAAAGTGTATATGTTGTTTTCCGAACGAAAGTACGAAGAATCTCGTAGTTTACTATGCGGCTTTCGATTCGAGTGGCTCTCTGTTTTACTCTCGAAACAGTTATCTGATCGCCAAAGGAGGTTCATCGGGTCTGGAGGGATGCTGAATAAAGAAAGGAAGCAAAGAATGCTAATATATTGTCAGCATACTTCCTCAATCTAAACGAATCACTGACGTACTATAAAGTATCTTTTCACCCTTTCACCGGTTCCCATCGAAAGCAATGGTTAAGGAATGGCGACTTTTGCAAAAAATTTCGAAGTTCTCCGTAAACTTTATTGTGTCTAAGCCCCATGAGAAGAGTAACTAGTAGCAGCTTCCGATAAGCCATTGCTACGAATCAGAACCTCTCATTGGGCAATGAAACTAGGTCAGGTTGGAATTACGGCTCAATTATAACAATTGACCCAGTTGATACTCTCATACTGTCTTTATAAAATCGTCAGGTTTCAATTTTCTAACTCTATTTTTATTGTAGATACGAAGAGAAACTTGGTTTAGATGAATCTCCTGAGATAACATTGTTAGGGGGACCTTCATTTCGTATGAAAGTGCATGAAGAAGAGATTTGTTGGTCGATCTCACCAGATGAGGGCGGATGAAACTCTTTGTACTGCAGCCGGTTGGAGTTTATACGATATTCATGTTGACGCAATCCACGGGACTTCCTCCCTCGTTTCGGGTGAAAACGTGCTGAGGGAGGAAGTCCCATGGACTGCGTCAACATGAATATCGCATAAACTCCAACCGGCTGCAGTACAACGAGTTTCATCCGTCCTCATCTGGTGAGATCGACCAACGAATCT